ACGGGGCGGGGCGGGGAGGGGCACAGGGAAGAGAAAGGGAAAAGAGCGTCACTCAACGCCTCCAAGGCCCAGCGCCCCCAGCCCCCAGGCCCTACCTGCCAGTCCCCTGGACACTCACCCTCCCTAGCACCTGGGCTCACAGGCAGTAGCCGCGAAGCCCCGCCTGTCAATCAATCAGGACCCCAGCGGCCTAACGGGGATCTCGGAGCTGATGTGGTGGCCTAGGGGGCCTGTCACTCTGGCCACCCCCAACGGCCCACGGGGTCCATCCTCTGCCCCGCCTCAGCAAACACCCCAGGACTGACCTGCCCAGGCCCCAGGGCACCTTAAAGTCTTGCCCATGACAGGAGCAGGGGGTCGGGAAAGAGAAACTGAGGCAGGAGGCAGCTGGCTGCACGCCCACCTGGCCCGTGCCAGGGTGGTGGGTGGAGGGCCAGACCGGGCTGGGAGCCAGCCAGAGGCTAATTAAGGAGCTCTAAGAAGTTGGCGGCCCTCTGTCACTGCGCGAACCGGGGCAGCAGAGGAGGGTGTGGGGACAGGCCAGGGGGTGTGGCGGGGCGGGCTCCGGCACTCCCTGGCCCTGGGGCACCCTCTGCTTTCCCGAGCTCCCCAGGGTGTGAGCCCCAGCACGCTGCTGCAGCCCCAGGGCCTCGGGCTGGCCCGCTGCCCCAAAGCCACACCGCGGCCCAAGGGCCAACCACAGTCCTTGCTCCCCCTGCCTAGGCTCAGCCACCTGTGCCTCAGCTTCCTCATCTGTACAACACATGCTGCTGCTGGGGACAGCAATCACCAAACTAAGTGAGGATCTAAAACCTATTCAGCTTTTGCGTTCTGGTTCCGTGTTTTTTTTGAGACAGGGTCTCGCTATGTAGCTCAGTGCGGGTAGGAACTCAGTGTGGCCCACGCCGGCCTGGAACTGTACCAATCCTCCTGTCTCAGCTCCAAGTGCTAACCCCTCCACCTCGGCTGGCCCATGAAACTTGCTTCGAATAGCGCCTGTCACAGGAAAAGGGCTAGGATGGTCCTTCAAACCAAGAGCCACTTGTTGAGCAGCTACTGTATACCAGATCCTTCACTAAGCTCTGCAGATGGGCCATTGAACAGGAAAAGTAGCAAAAATCACTGCCCTCAGAGAATGGACATTCTGGCGAGGGTGTTGGAGGGCTTCTGTGAGGAGGGGTACCGGAGCCATGCCGGAGGGGTGAGGGGTAGCCAGCCAACCTCTGGAGGAACACTTGGTCAGAGGGTGCAGCCTGTGCAAAGGTCCTGTGGCTGGAATGTGCTTGGAGAAGAGTTAGGATCAGGAAAATTGCCACCTGAGCCTGGAGATCAGAGCCCTGATCTGTGGCTTATCAGGATTGTGATCAAAGGGACAAGCACAGGCAAAGTCCAGGTTAGGTGACTAAGAGAGTCACTCTCACCGACAGGGACAGTGACGAGGGAGGAAGACTAAGTGGCCGTCGGGGGCTCCCAGAGGCCTGTCGAGGGGCAGGGAGCTCCGCACTGTGCAGGGAACGCAGCCCGGCAAGCGGCAGGCGGACACAGTCTGGGCAGGCGGGAAGCCCAGCGCCGGGCGTCAGCCACCAGGTCCCTAGGCGGGGACAGGCTGCCGGCACTAGGCCAGGAGGAACGTATGCAGTCTGCCTCGATCTGGCCGGGTTCCTGCCCTGGGCAAACAGCACGGGGAGAGGCCGCAGGACACGCAGATCCAGTACAAACTAAACTCACACCCTTGCTCACACAGGCACAAGGTCAGCGCAGGCTGAGGCTGCAGGAGGCCCCGTGGGGCCCTAAGCGGGCGCCGCTGCCCTCCGCATTGGCGCGGCAGGTCATAATTGGATTCCTGCAGCCCGCGCCCAAGGGACCAGCGATGGTGGTAATGAGGTTAGCAGGCGCCAGCCGGCCCCGCCCCGGCCCCTCCCCAGGACTCACCCTCCTTCCGCATGCCCACCCGGAAGCACTTCTTCAGGCGGCAGTACTGGCACTGGTTCCGGTGATGCTGGTCTATCTGGCAGTCACGGTTGGACCTAGGGGCACACAGAGGCCAGGGCTCCCTGGGACACCAGATTCCAGCCAGGGAAACTGCCCCTGGGAAACCCGAAGGGAACCCCAGACCCGGGAAAGGAGTGCAGGGGCTCCGCTTGCTGGACTGCAAAGAGGAAAGGACAACTGGGGTGGGTTGTTGATGGACGAAGAGGAGTCTGTGAGAGGTGATGAGTGCACTAGGAAGAGCACTTTAGGACCAGGTTTTGAGGGATGAGTAGGAGTTCCCGCTGCCATTTTTAGCACAGGGTGCAGTGAAACCCCATGGAACGAAGTGCAAACACCAGAGGACTAAGTGGTCACGGCTGGGCTAGGAGGCTCAGTCACCGCAGCACGGTTGACTTGACGGTGGGGGAGGGGCCTGGCCAGGGATCTGGGCTTCAGGAGCCACGAGACTGGAGGCCAGGCCCCGTGCCAGGTGGGTTACAGGGTCACGGCACTGCTGCCAGCACCAGGGAGGACAAGAGGGCAGAGGGAGCAACGGAGGCTGGGTGGAAGGGAGGAAGGCCGCAAGAGCGGGGAAGGGTACGCGGACGCGGCCCACCCGGGAGGCCTCCCACCTCTAGGAGCCCCGGACGCTGCCTCCAGGTAGCCTTCCAGGTGGCCCTGAGAGGCCGTGACCACCCCCTTTGGCACCTGTCCCCTCCCTGACTTGCTGAGGACTCTGTAAGACCTGGGGCTACAGAAGACCAGGAGGGGAAGCCACACCCCAGGGGCACAGGCAGAACCCTGCAGAGCCCAGCTGGGCCTCGCCCTCAGCCCCCCACCAGCCTCAGTGTCCCATCCGCAGCCAGACGCCAGATGCCACCCCGTGGGGGCTGCCGGGGGGACACGCGGGGCACCAGGCAGTGTCAGGAGGCCTAGCGCCCCACAGCACCCGCCACGCTGGGAAGGGCCTGGAGGCAGCGGGAAGTCAGGCAGAACCGGAACAAAGCAGAGGCCGGCGGTGGGAGGACCAGGCAGCCGGGTGGAACAGCCAGGCTGGGCTGGCTCTGGGGCCATGGCTCGGGAGTCCCCCACCTCTGCCTTGCTTTGCCCACTGTGGAAGGGGGACAGAGCTGTCCCTCCAGGTACTGGGACATCACTCACATGAAAAGTGTATGCTTTGCCCAACCAAGTGGCCCAAGTCAGCCAACTCCATCCCCCTCTTTTTAAAGACAGGGTCTCCTGATGTTACCAGGCCAACTCCAAACTCCAGGGCTCAGGGGATGCTCCTGCCTCAGCCTCCAGAGTAGCTGGAACCATAGGTGTGCACCAATGCACCTGATTTCCAATCGGATCTGATCATCTCACTCCCCTGCTCCGCACCCTGCGAGGCTCCCAGGTGCTCTCACTAGCAACTCAGACCCACTGGGCCCCAACAGGCTGGGCAAGGCAGCTCCCAACAGGGCCCGCCCCGCTGACCCGCTGAATCTGGGCCCGGTGAGGAGCACCCTTTGCCCTTTTCTGCCCAGGGCCCAGCTCTAGGGAAAACCCTTGCTCCGTCCCTAGGGTCCAGAGCTCACAGGCCTGGGCCTCTGGGGCTCCAGCCTGGGCCTGGGGCCACAGCCTTCTAGAGCACTGGCCCCGGCCCACCACGGCTGTACCCACAGCTGAGGGAAGAACCTGCCTGCCCTGAACGACGCGGCCTCGGCAGCCCTGGAGACCCCGCCGCGGCCCCAGCACTCCCTGGAGACCCCTGGGAGCACTCCCACCCAAGAACGAGGCCAAAGTCTGTTGGCCCAGTTCTCACAGGCGAGGGAGCACCCCCACGCTGGGGACCTGGGGCCCCACTGGAGGCACCCACCAAACGCCCCAACACGGTGACTCCAGGAGCCCCCAGATCTGGGAAGCAAACCAGGGCAGGGCCCTGGCCTGTGACCCAGGGCGGGTTCCCGGGCAACCCTGCACCTGGGCTTGGTGCACCTGGAAAATGGGGGTCTGTGCCCCCTCTGCAGAGCCAGCGCACCCCAGGGTCGCACAGTACAGGCTGTTTCCGGAAAGAGTGCTGAGTATCTCCGACTGGACCCCAACCCGCTGTCCAGGGCACCCCGCGTCTCAGGACGGGACAGAAGAGCTAGCAAGGCCATCCCCGCTGAGGGTTCTACGGGCTGGACCCCCTGGGGCTCCCTCGAGAGACACTGCCCTCCCCTCCCGTCTCAGAGCTGCCCCGAAGTTTAGGTGAATGTCCCAAGTCCTTGGGCCTGCGTCAGTGCCGGTGGGGGGGGCAGGCCTCCAGGGGCGTTTCCGCTAACCCAGACCCAGGGCGTCCCCCACGGACAGGCCCGACTCCCCATCCACCGTGCGGCCCCTCCTGCAGGGCCGCCACCCGGCCACCGGGCTCTGCAGCTGCCGCGGGCCCGGCGACTTTGGAAGTGATATTTGACCCCAAGGGCGCGCCGTATCGATCCGCGCGGCCGCAGACAATGGCCCGGACGCCGCGGGCCGCACGGGCCAAGTTCCACGCCCGATTCCCGCGGGGCGTCCGGCCGCGGGGTCCCCGGACAGGGCCCGAGGAGGGCCCCACGCCGGAGAGCACCCG